ATGAAATGCTTCAGAGATGAAGTTTTTTTTTTTTTTTAATAGTAGCTTCATTTTCTTTCTTTTTTTTTTTTTAAAGAGAGAGAGAGAGAGAGAATTTTTTAATATATTTATTTATTTTAGTTTTCGGCGGATACAACATCTTTGTTTGTATGTGGTGCTAAGGATCGAATCCGGGCCGCATGCATGCCAGGCGAGCGCGCTACCGCTTGAGCCACATCCCCAGCCCAGAGATGAAGTTTAATACTTAATTCCCCCCCAAAAAAATACATCACAGACATATTACAATCCTGTGATAAATTTGCCCTTGTTACTTCTTTTTACCCTTCTTAAATATAGTTATTCCCCAAGATTGCTCCTTTGACTTAGGATTTCCTAAGAGAAATTGTCTTTTCAGAGCTTAATATTTTGAAATTTCTGAGTCTTAAAACTATATAATCCTAGCCCTTATTTTGTATCTAGAGTCTGGATCCATATTTCCATGTGTCTTATAAAATATTTTTATTTTGATATCTTCCTATAATCCCAGCTCAGTATATCAAAAGTAACATTTACTTTCCATACATTCCCAGTTATTCCATTTGGGGGCATAGGTACCATTATTTTTAGTTTCCATCCTAGGTTTGTAGAATCATCCTTTGTCTTTTTCTAATATATTATGCTATATAATCAGTTTGCCATTTTCAAAATGGCAAAAATTCAAAATTATTCAAAATTATTTGATTTACTTGGTTCTAACATTTCTTCTACCTTTATAGTCTGATGTTCTCACAGCTTCTCACTTGAATGAATTCTGGAGATGCTATTAGATATAAGGCAGATTAGATTCCTGTTCTCAGGATGCTTAAAAGAAATGATAGCTGTTACTCCTCCATAAAGTTCAGATTCATTCCATCATAGGTAAACCAACTGTATCAACTCTCTCTATAGTTATATGACACTTTCTAGTTCATTGTGCTCTAGCACATATGGCATCACTAATTATTTATGTGTCTGTTTCCCTTACCACATACACTGAGTTATTGGTAATGAAAATGGTTACTTCACTTTTGTATCACAGTGCCCAGTATAGTACCTTTCACATACATGATTGAATATTAATTGAGTGGATGGAGGAAAGAGCATTATAGATACTTTGTCATTTGCTTCAAATAGTGAAATGGATATAGGCCTTTTAAAATCTCTTAGTTTGAAGATCTTCCATAATTATCCCTAATTTGCTTGCCCAAATTTTCTCTTTCTTATAGTCAAATAAATATTTTCACTATCTCCTAAATACTCCATCTTCATTTTTACCTGTTTGAATCCTGCTGCTGCTGCTGCTGCTTTACCCGCCTGCCTACCAATGGGAGTCTCACTAGGTTGCCCTACTCAACCGCCTGCACCCCAGTGATCTTCCCACCTAAGTCTCCCAAGTAGCTTGCCACCACACCTGGCTAGACGCTTCCTTTCTTTTCTTTATCATAGTCTAATAAATTTGCCTTTGGGGGTGGGTGGGGGGGCAGTGTTTGTTTATTTGTTTTGGTGCTGGGAATTGCATCCAAGGCTTTGTGGTACTACCACTGACACCCCAGCCCATATTTATCTTCTCTTTGAAACCTGCCCTTTAACTCTTAGACCACACTGATATATATTGCCTAGCAACTGTATAATATAGCACTCTGTGGCAATGATCTGTATTTTATGCACTTTTTAATCTATATTGTTTGTCAGATCTCTTCCACTTGACTAACAACTGTGTAACTGGCTGTTTTCCCCTCTCATCTATTTTAGAAACTTCTTTATTTATTTATCTAATATTGGTATTAGGAGCTAGCTCTTTCTCCAAACATGACGATTCTATACAGGAAACAGCACAGATTACTGTTTAAAAAGGGGCAGTTGTATGGTTATCTCTTCTTATTATTGATTTTTAAAAATTATCTCCGAGTTTCATCCTAATTATAGTATTATATTAAAATTTTATGACCTAATTCAGGTTACTCATATAATCAGCCAAACTCAAAAAACAAATTTTAGCCTGGCATGGTGGCACTTGTCTGTAATTCTAGCAGCTCAGGAGGCTGAGGCAGGAGGGTCACGAGTTCAAAGCCACCCTGAGAAACTTAGTGAGGCCTTAAGCAACTTAGTGAGACACTGTCTCAAAATAAAAAACAAAAAGGACTGGTGATGTGGCTCAGTGGTTAAGTGCTCCTAGGTTTGGTCCCCAGTACCAAATAAAACAGCAATTTTAAGTTGTTCTGTTGGAAAATTATAATAAACACAGATGGGCCATTTCTGTAATTAAATTTTCCATGTCTGACAATATTTAAATTAAGTGTATTTTTCAGTAACTTCTCTTAGACTATTAGACTATTTTTTTGTTTTCTATGTTTCATAACTGATAAAAATCAAAATGTTTTGAGAAAATAGCATACTTTGAAAAAGTGCTCACTTAGACTATTTTTTTTTAGTTTTTTATGTTTCATAACTGATAAAAATCAAAATGTTTTGAGAAAATAGCATACTTTGAAAAAGTGCTCACTAGTAACTACCATATTTAAGTGTTCGTAATTTTTTTTATTCATACTGGGGATCGAACCCAGGGGTCCTCTACCACTGCGATGCATCTTCAGCCCTTGTTATTTTTAATTTGAGACAGGTTTTGCTAAGCTGTCAGTGCTGGTCTTGAATTTGCTCTCCTCCTGAGTAGCTGGGATTAAGAGGCATGTGCTACCATGCTAGCCAAGTGTTCTTCGTATGTTTAAAACAGTAGTTTTACCCTGTGTAAAGATGGTTTAACTTCTTTATCTATTCATTTTTTTTTTTTTTTTTGGTGGTGCTGGGGATTTAACCCAGGGCTTTGTGCATGTGAGGCAAGCACTCTACAACTGAGTTATATCCCCAGCCCGGCTACATTTATTTTTATCATTAAGGAAAGAGATGATTTGAAAAGCTACTCAAAGTATTAATTTATTTATTTGATACTAGGGATTGACCCAGGGGTACTTAACCACGGGGCTCCAGCCCCACCTCCCCTTTTTTTAAAATGTAAATGTTTTATTTTGAGACAAGTTCTCTCTGAGTTGTTTAGGGCCTCACTAGCTTGCTGAGTGTGGCTTTGAACTTGTGATCCTCTTGACTGGGGTTATAGGTGTGCACTACCACACCCAGCTCAAAGTGTTTCTTTTATATTAATGTAGTTAGGAAATAGTGTTCTTCTAATAAATAGCTTGTCTATTCTTCTCTTGTTACTGTTTCTTCTTTTTAACTCTTGTACATCCATTTCTTTTCTGTAATTCTTTTTTCTTTTGGCCCTCTGGTGATGTATCCAGGGCCTTGTACATGCCAAACAAATACTGTACTGCTACATTCTCAACCCTTTTTAAATTTTATTTTGAAATAGGGTCTTACTAAATCACCTCAGGTGTCCCTGAATTTGTGATCTTCCTGACTCAGCTTCCCAAATAGCTGTGATATCAGGCATGTGCCCCTGCACCCACTTATAACTTTATTTGTTCAATTTTTTCCATTTATTTATTTACTTATTGTACATGCCTTTATTTTATTCTAGAATAGATATAACATGAATTCACATTTTCTAATGGACCCAGTTACTTCAGTCTTTCTTATCCCCCACACATATCCCCTCACGCCTATGAAATTTGTTCTTTAACTATTTTCCTGATTGGCTCTTTACCCTGCAAGTAGAAAGATTTTGGCTTCATGATGTGGTAAGCCATTTGTTGAACTGTGGTTCTTTCCAAACAAAGGAAGTTAGGTTGTTAACTTTTTTCTTGAGTGTCTCATTGCAATATAAATTTTTGAAATACATTAGACTTATTAGAGAAAATTGTTAAAATTTTAAGCCTTAAATTCCTATATCTTTATTGTATATTTTAGAGATTAGAATAACATCTACTTTTATGCTAGTTAAATGTAATGTCAGAGTAGAGTTTTACTTGCATTTGTAAGTCAGATCTTAGTGTGCTTAATATTTTTATTTAATTTTATTCCTTTAAATTTTATTTATGTAGTTTTTTGTTTTTGGCTTTTTGGGGAGGGGTGGTACTGAAGATTGAACCCAGAAGTGCTCCACCATTGAGCTACATTACCAGCTCTTTTTATTTTTTGAGACAGAGTCTGGCTAAGTTACTGAAGCTGGCCCCAAACTTGCTATCCTCTTGCCTCAGCCTCCCAAGTTGCTGGGGATTTACAGGCATGTGCCACCAGGCGTGGCTGATATTTTTATTTTTAATGTCTAGTGTTGAACAGCTTCCTATGGTAGGTGTTATTTTATTGCTCTTCTTGATTTCTGATTATCATAAATATATACAATATAATGACCTCATGTAGGTCAACTTTCCTAAACTTTCATTGACTTTTTTTTTTTAATTACTTTAGGGAAAGTGAAAGAGATAAGCCAGAATGACTTGGGATGCTTTTTCAAAGCATGTACCACTAGGAATTCTGATTCTCATTCTTTGCCATCCTTCTTTGGAAGTCCATGATTATAATGAATCAACATTACTAAAGGAATTTATGCTTGTTCTCAAATATGTTAGTTTGTATACAAAAAGAGCTTAGCCTGTAAGTTTTCAAAATTATTCATGGAAAATTATATTTCATAAAACAATAAATGACTGCAGATTTCAAATATGTATTGCATCTAGTAATAAAATTATTTAATTCTCCTAAAGTGTTAAATTAAACAAATATTTATATTAGGGAAATAATTGGTCATTAGCAAAATAGTCCTGAAAATGTTGCTCTTTTCTTTAAGACAATATTCAAACCTTAAGTAGCAAGTATTAAACCCCAAAAAAGAACTTCTTAAGTAAAAGTTATTTTCAGAGTCTTAACTCTTATTTACTTTTGTCTTGGATGATCAAATGTATTCTTTTTATAGCCACTACCCTGAAAGTTGCAAGGTTTCACTTGTCTGCTTTCTGGTCTGCCTTCAGTATAGGTCCCTTCTTTTCTTCTCTCTGTACTCTTGAATTAATCCTCTACCTACTTCACAGGCCGATTCTTTGATGAAAATGAATCCCCTGTTGATCCGCAGCATGGCTCTAAACTGGCGGATTATAATGGGGATGATGGTAACGTAGGTGAGTATGAGGCAGACAAGCAGGCTGAACTGGCTTACAATGAGGAAGAAGATGGTGATGGTGGAGAGGAAGACGTCCAAGGTGAGCGTGGGCCTGGCCTCCATGCTGTGACCGTGAAACCCACCTCTAAGTTTTTTGGTTGAATTTGTGTAAATTTTCCTCATTTATTAGCATCAGTAAAGTCTTAATATTAATTCAAAGAGGTTCTGGGCAGATTTTCAGTTTTACTTTTAAAAGTATCTTATGATAGTAGAAGTTGTAGATCTATCAATAATTTTTTAAGTTTTAGTTATTCTATGTATTATTGAGGCAGTTGCAATTTGAAACGTATAATTCTCAGAAATTTTAGAATTAAATTGTTAAAATGACTAGACTTTACATAAGGCAAATGCTTCCTGAAAAAAATTATTCTTTTCCAGTTTCTTATCTGAAAACATTTCATTTTTCTAGGCAAGTATTGCCCAGGCAGCCTTTTTGTTATAAGGAAACTACAAAGGGAACAGTTTCCTCCATATTGAAATAAAAATTATTTCACCACTGATATAACATAGGAAAATTATTTTTTTAAGTTTTTTTCTAACAGGCTTTGTGAAGAAGCTTTATCTTATGTTTAATACACAGATTCAACACATTTTTTTGTTAACTATGTTACTTCTGAGCTTTTAACTTAGTAAAATTCAGACTCTACCTGTGTGCATGCAGCCCTACCCATGCATGCATATCAGAGTGCATTGTTTTTTAGGCTTATTTTCTGCCTGCTTATTGTTTAGTACAATTTGTGGAGTTTTAAAATCTTCTATAAAAGTTGATTATGACCCTTAGGATGTGATGTATAAGATTGCCATTATGTGATGCATGAAATATTTTTCACTATAACCTATTTTGATTTCTTCCTTAACTCTTTTTATAGTAATTACATTTTTACTGAGGTTCATGACAGGAATTGTTTTTAAAAACTCAGAATAAGGTTGTGGCTCAGCAATAGAGCACTCGCCTTGTACGTGTGAGGTGCTGGGTTCGATCCTCAGCACCACATAAAAATAAATAAATAAAATAAAGGTATTGTGTCCAACTACAACTAAGAAAAAAAATTTAAAAAAAATATAGAATATAGTTGTCATAGAATACTATATATAATATAAAAAGAAAAACTAGAGTTTCTGACTTCCGTGTAGGCATTCTGGTAGTACATTCTAGTTTTGGAAAAACATGATTATTAGAAGTAGAAGAAAGATTAGTGTTAGGAGTTACTTAAAGTTATATTAATGAGAATTTTCTCAAACTTTTTTTGGTTATATAAAATAAATTTTACTCAGTTTTTTAATAATTTCATCCCTTTTTATAAATTTTACCTTCTTTTCTCATTACTTTTGTGGTTTGTTTGGACTACACTTATTTGCAATTATATATAACACTTTAAGGCTTTTTCATTGCATGCATATCATCACTAATTAGATTGTAAGCTCTTGGAGAGCAGGAATTTTCATTTATTTTTCCTTCTGTTTTGCTTGTGTCCTTTTCTGCCCTCATACCCATTTTCTTGCAGGGCCCTCAATAAATGTCATTAACTGATAAAAATTTATTTTCTTATTGAGCTTTTTTATTCTTATAACTGTGACTAGGGTAATAACCCTTTAACTTCTGATCTTATGAGTTTGCTTGGTTTGCACTTTAAATATTCTCTTTGTTTTGGTTTTGTTCTTTTAAGGGTTTTTCTATCATCTCATTGGATATTTTTGAGGTTTTTATTAGAGCCATTAATTTCAATCATGATTGATAATCATTTCATATAGGTGTGTGTGTAATTGGTTTTTGCTATTTTAAAGTTGATGAGTTTTATCACAAGGTTTCAGTTTAATTTTTTTATGGGTTTTCACCACAGTAGGTAAATTTATTTTCATTGCCTTCTTTTTCCCTTTTTTTACCCTTCTCCCTTCCCACTCCTATTTCTCATTGTCGATTCAGGTACTCAGTACTTTTATTGCTGCCCTTCTATTCTTTTCACAAGAAAATGAATTCATTGAATTCTAAGCAATATAAAGAAATAGTAGGCTAAATAGTAGGCTATAAGCCAGGGGCGGTGGTGCACGCCTTTAACCCAAGCGGTTTAGGAGGCTAAGGCAGGAGGATCACAAATTCCAAACCAGCTTCAGCAACTTAGCAAGGCCCTAGGCAACTCAGCTAAATAAAATACAAAAAAAGAGCTGGGACATGGCTCAGTGGTTAAGTGCCCCTGGATTCAATCCCTCGTACCAAAAAAAAAAGAAAGAAAGAAAAAGTAGCTTATTTATATCTTTGATGAAATAGGTCAGAGGTTGTTAAATTTTTGAATTTCTTTATTTGCAAGTGAATCTTTTTTTTTTTTAGTATTTTTATTAGTTGTTGATGGATCTTTATTTTATTTATTTATTTGCGGTGCTGAGAATCGAACCCATTATGTCACACATGCCAGGCAAGTGTGCTACAGCCCCAGTCCTTGCAAGTGAAATCTTAACTTAAGCTGAGGGCTGTCATTTAATATTTTTGTTTCATTGTAGAATTCTAGGTAGTGGCAGGAAGATAGGGCAGCTACATAAAAGGACTTCCTTATCACAGAGAACAGAAAAATGCAAGAACATCAACTCAGCCAAATAAAGAAGATAAATTCTGGTAAACTGACTGAAAAGGATTACTTAAGAGACCTAAAGCCAGTGCACTGGTGCACGCCTGTAATCCCAGCAGTTTGAGTTCAAAGCCAGCCTCAGCAACTTAGTAAGGCCCTAAGCAACTCAATGAGACCCTGTCTCTATATAAAATATAAATTAGGACTGGGGACTTGCCTCAGTGGTTGAGTGCCTCTGGATTTAATCCCTGGTACAAAAAAAAAAAAAAAAAGAACTTAAAATAATTTAAAATATATTTTCAGAGATTCTTCAAGACTTTTATTCTTTAGGTGTAGTATTAACTGTTCAAAAAGTAGGGAGGGGAATTATGGCTGTTCCCTAATTTATTAAGTTGGGTTTCAAATGTTTATTATTAAGAATATATAGAATTTAAAAGCATTTCTTTATTATGGCAATGTAGGTATGATGATTGAATTCCCAGTACAGTTTATCCTGTTCTACTAAAAAGATAATTAGAGGGCTGGGGCTGTAGCTCAGTGGCAGAGCTACAATGTGCAAGAGCCTTGCACATGTGAGGCACTGGGTTCGATCTTCAGCACCACCTAAAAACAAATAAAATAAAGGCATACTGTCTATCTACAAATGCAAAAAAAAAAAAAAAAATTAATTAGAGGTCCAAAGCAGTTTAGGAACTAGATCATGTTTGTTAAATACCTGAGTCAAGAGCAGATTTAAGTTTTTCTATTCCTAGACCTTTGTTCTACCTCATTTCCCCTATACTTTTATTCATTTAAAAAGCCAGAAATGTAACATTTTTTTCCTTCAGTGACTTTTCTGTTAAGTTTCTAGGAATTTTCCAGTGCTCCAATGTGATTAAGTCTTCACTTAATTACTATGTCTTGAAAGATGTATTTATAGCCATAGGTGAGGTCTCATAACATGGATTCTAAAGAGAACTTTCTGGAAATGTGCCAGTGCTTATTTTCCATTTTTTTTTTTTAAAGTACAGAGAGTTCTTTGACAAGAAATTGATTAGCATGTTTACAAACTACAAATGTGAATATAAATATAATTTTAGCCATTGTACATGTTAAACAGATTTGGGGTTATCATGCCTAGGGGATTATACTGTTAATGATGTGTGATGAGTTTAAGAATGTGGTGCAAAATTTTTTTGCTGTTTTAGAATAAAACAAACCTATCAAGGCTGGGCTCAGTGGTGCAGGCCTATAAATCCCTGTGATTCAGGAGGCTGAGGCAAAAGGATTCCAAGTTTGATGTCAGCCTGGATGAATTTGCAAGACCCTGTCTCAAAATAAAAAGGACAGGGGATATAGCTAATTGGTAGTGCAAGTCCTGGAGTTCAATTCCCCCAAATAATAAACAAACCCAAAAAACTGTCATATCTAATATAAGGATGTCATAAAAAGCCATGTTCTCAAAGCCTCTCAGGTTCTGATTAAAATACTTTTCATTCTAATTCAAATGCTAACATGTTAATTTTTTTTTTTTTGAGCAGTCTTATTTCAGAATCTGTAGTCTACAGCAAAAACTAGAAAAGTGGAGCCCAGTGGCACACATCTGTAATCCCCAAAACTCAGGAGACACGATGATAAATAAGTTGGGGGCCAGCACCAGCAATTTAGTGAGACCCTGCCTCTAACTAAAAAATAAAAAGGAATGGGAATGTAGCTCAGTGGTTAAGTGCCCCTGGGTTCAATGCCCAGTACAAACAGCAACAAAATTAGAAAAGAAGCACATTGTTTTTGTCAGTTAAACTAACAACAATGCAGTAACAGCTGATAGCCAAGAAGGAAGCAGGAAAACCTGTCAATACCCAAGTAAATCAAACTTCAAAGCACCTATTGGACTAAATTCAATAGCTACTCAAAGTGGCTTTGAGGATATAATATAATGATTTTTTTTTTCTTTTTGGTAAAGAAAAGATTAAAATTTGGTTAATATACTCCATGTAGGAAGTCAAGGATAAGCTATTCCCCAAAGAAGTAGAGAAATTCACCTGAATGTTAAATATTGGGATCAGAAGTGACTTATTTTTCTCTTTTATTTTCTAATTTTTACATTTCCAGCATGGATTACTTTTATAATTAGAAAAGATTTTATACCAGGCATGGTGGCTCACATCTATAATCCCAGCAGCTTGGGAGGGTGAGGCAGGAGGATCATGAGTTCAAAGCCAGCCTCAGCAAAAGTTAAGTGCTAAACATCTCAGTGAGACCCTGCCTCTAAATAAAATACAAAATAGGGCTGGTGATGTGGCTCAGTGGTTGAGTGCCCAAGTTCAATTTTTGTTTTTTTCAATTTTGAGATTTTGTTTTTAAAGTCAGTAAAATATACACAGAAGTGTTTCTACCAGAGCTTTAGTTTAAATCTTCACCTGTATATTATAGAAATAATATATATATAAAAAAGGATTGACTCCTAAATATTGAGGTTTCCTAAAGTTTTGCTAGCTGTATCTGTCTGGCTCTACATTTGTCTTCAAAGTACTTTAGAAATAATCTAATCTAAAGAATGAAGTCTGCAAGGGGGACAAATGAATGTCAGTAGAGGGGGCAGAGAGAGAAGAGGGGAGGGGAGGGGAGGGGAGGGGAGGGGGGATAGTAGAGGATAGGAAAGGCAGCAGAACACAACAGACACTAGTATGGCAATATGTAAATCAATGGATGTGTAACTGATGTAATTCTGCAATCTGTATATGGGGTAAAAATGGGAGCTCATAACCCACTTGAATCAAAGTGTGAAATATGATATATCAAGAACTATGTAATGTTTTGAACAGCCAACAATAAAAAATTAAAAAAAAAAAAAGAATGAAGTCTGTTTTGGAAGATTATTTCACTTTTTACTCTTTAGCTAAGCCACTAGGAAATAGAATACTGTATACATTAGGTGAGAAATAACAAGAGAAAATGACATTAAGGCTGAAAAAAAAATTGAAACAGTTCTAAGTTGGGTTTCTATTATGATTTTAAGATATTATTCTTAATACATAATTATTTTACTTACAGATGATGAAGAGAGAGAGCTTCAGATGGATCCTGCAGACTATGGAAAGCAACGTTTCAATGATGTTCTTTAACTCCTAAAAGAAAACATCAGAAAACCTAAAGTGCTGTAAAATGGAATCATTTCTACTTTGTCATTGTTGACTTCTGTTGTAAAGATCAGTTGTATCAGTTGTAAAGATACATTGAGATAGATGTAAGGAAAAACTTTAATGAAGGAATGTACCCATGTACATATGTGAACTTTTTCATATTATATTATCAAAGAAGACTTTTGGTTATGATACAGTTGAGCCAAAAACAGATAATCTTTGCATTTAAAGCAAACTAATGTATATTTCACATTTTTTGAGCCTAATTTTTTTTCCACAAATAGACAAATGGGAGAAAATGGTTATGTAGATGTTTTATGATGCACATAGCATAACCACAGTGAGAACAATTATTCAGCTGAGAATTTTTTATACACTAATATCTTCTTGTTAGCCCAACAGGTGTTCTGTTCTATCTGCCCCTCATTTCATGCTTTTCAGGAGTTATGCCTAGAATAGTTATGTAAAATAGGGGAAATTGGATGCCAAACACTAGTTAACGTGTACAAAACTGCCTCTCTACTCAAGTGCTGATGTGTTTTGGCATATTAACTTTCAGCTGAGGCCTGATGGAATTTGAGATAAACTTCAAAGACATAACAGTATATATGAGTTATTGTTTATGTTAGTTCTTGAAATTATGGAATGCATGATGGACGATATATTTTCAATTTTTTTCTTTCTCAAGTAATACCAGTACTATTTAAGTATAGTCAGCACTGGCTAAAAGAAAAATTTTTTTTCAGAGTTCAGGTCAGTGAAGATAAATTAAATGCCAGATCCTGAAAGGAGCTAAATCTACTTTGAAATGAATCTACAATTGATATTTCAAAGCTTTTCTGGTAGTTTTAATGATCTTATTTAACTAGACTTTTTCAGAACTACTAAATAAGAAATTTTAACAGGTTTTTATTAATGCACACATAAATAGATATACAGTGAGGTCTACAGCTGTTTTATTAAAATAGCTTAAAAGTTAAAATAAAAATGAATCTTTGTAATTACTTAATGTTAGTTAAGAACCCATCAACCTCATATTTGCTAGACTTACACAAAATTGTTTTAAATGCATTTTTTGACACTATTTAGTCAAATGTGTAAGCTAGCTAACCCTTATTTTCTTATTCAAAGCACTTTTAAATAGTACCTCTCCCCACAAAAAACTAAAGGTTTGGATCATACCAGGATGTTTAAGGTTGTTTAACCCTGTTTTTCAAAAGGGCTACCATTAATTGCATATAAACATGAAATATCAGGCAGGGGATATAGCTTAGTGATAGAGTGCTTGTCTAGTATGTATAAAGTTCTGAGTTTCTCCCCAGCACCACAAAATAAACAAACCCAAAACATGAAATACCTGCACCCCCACATTAAGTTTCCTGTCATAATTCAAACTTATAGATTATTCACTTGTTGAGGTGCAAAAATTCTTAGCTTTCAACTGGAAATTATTTAATGACTAGGAAAAGATGCAGTAATTTACTAAAATAGTTTTTTCCACCATATCAAACTAAATAGTGTTCATGTTTTTGTTAACAGTAGGGTCAGGACTACAGGTATGATGGTTCACATAATTTTTAAAAGGGAGTTAGTTAAAAGGAAGTGATATATATCCTTTGGTGTACATCCTTTTAAATGACTTTAAATAGTGAAAAACACCTGTTCAGAATAAATTTGGGCATTAATCGGAGAGGTGAATAAAAATATTCCTAGAAATATTTCATATTTAATATTATAAAATCTTTACAAATGAAATTACCTTAGTTCCTTTTTCATAAAAATGATCATTTGGTTATATGATAGCTATTACTTACATAGCAAAAGTTCTTCAATTGGCAGTCTAGACATTTTATAAACCAAGAAATTTTGGACCAATTGATAATATTTCTGACCGTATTAACATTTTAGTGCTATAAAATACTATGTAGATGTCTTAAAATTCTGACATTCTACAGTCTATATTACTATGCTGTTTTTGTTTTACTTCTGCCTTAAAATTTAGTTTTTTTAAATGTATTTTTGCCCTGAATTGTTAATTTGATCAAAGTTCTGCTTCTAAAATCATCACTTACTGGGTTCTAATAAATGAAAAATTAAACTTGTTTCACTGTTTTGCTGTATCTAATACCTTACATTCTTGACAATCTCGTGATATAGTCACATTTTTAACACTGAGATTTTGAGTAAATTAGTGCTTATTTAAGTTAAGCTAAAGCAGAAATGTTTACAGGAAAGCTGTTTGTTATAAGGCGAGTTTATCCACAAACACTGAATATCTTTTGTGTGCCTTGTTCTAGTAAGATGAATTGATAAGATAGATAAAGTTTATTCTGGAACTTAAATTCAGGTGGGGACAGTCAAACAACACAAGTAAACAAATGAACCAGATGACTTTAAATAGTGAAAAACACCTGTTAAAAATAATTTTTTTGAGGTTAGAGTTCCAAATAATCATGTTTTCATTCAATGGAAACATTTTAGTTGTGTAATTAGAAGGTAATGACCAAGGGGAAGAGAAAAGATGCTGGAAAGATAGAGGGGGCAAGACAGGGAGAGCTTGTAAGTTCAGGTCACTGGTACTGACCCAGAAAGTGAAAGTACAAAGTATAAAATATGCATGGTGGGGCTGGGGATATAGTTGAGGTAGAGCACTTTTCTTGCATGCACAAGGCATTTGTTTCGATTCCCATTACCCCCAACTCAAATAAAAAAGCAGGGGATGCTGATTGCAAGGAAAATATAATATGTCTTCAAAAGCATTTTTAAAACGTCGATAGTTTTAAAAAAGTATTAAGATTGTGTGTCTTTAATCTTATTTGTATAATCATGTAACAACAAACTTTGCTCAAGTTTGAAATCAGAGAATTTGTTTATAAAAGAAATTGTGAGGACTGGGCACAGTAAGTAGCACATGGCTATAGTCTCAGTGACTTTTAGGAGGCTGAAGCAGGAGGATGGAAAGTTTGAAGACAGCCTCAGCAACTTAGTGAGACCCTGTCTCAAAAAATAAAAATGACTGGGGGTGCAATCTAAAGGAAAAGCACCACTGGGTTAAATTCCCAAGACAAAACAACAACAACAAAAAAAAAACAAAACAGTTGTGTGGAAGTCATTTCCCATAATGGCTGACCCTGAAAACATCGATAAGATAAACAGTGTGATATATCCAAAGTCTAGCTTATTATTTATATCACACGTGAACCATCAATATTCAGTTCCAGTTGGGCCACATCAAGCCTAATCCAGTTCCATTTTAGATTCTCTTCTCTATTGGTTTCAAATGTAAATTCAGCTAACTAACAAAAGATAATTGGTGTAATGGTCCATGTAAGAAAACTATTATCAAGAGTAGAAGAACCCTGGACTTGAAGACAACTCAAACAGGGAACATGAATGCTACCAAGATTTTGTTTCACCAATTTCCATTTCTGCTTCTCTTTATAACATTCTTATTACCTCCATTTTCTCAGACCAGTTCCCTCTTCAAAGCTCTATGACACCTAGAAGATCCTATTTTTCTTAGTTTTGCTATTTGATGGGCTACTCCTCTTCCCTTAGTTTCACTTAAAAAAAAAAAAATCCAAGAGAAGAGGGCTGAGGTCATAGCTCAGTGGTATAGCACTTGCCTAGCATGTGTAAGGCACTTGATTTGATTCTATGCACCATATATAAATAAATAAAGGTTCACTCACGACTAAAAAAATATTTTTAAAAAATCGGAGGGAAGAGTGACCTATGCTTCTCACCATAATGTAGTAGGCTGACTAGCCCTCTTGGATTGGTAAAGATTATAGGACTAGACAAGATATATTAGGCAACTGTTTTCAGGCAACACAGGTTTACAATCTATGAGAGAAGGGAAATTTAGGCAGTGAGTCCCACAATCACCAAGCTTCCTGTGGTATATAAAAAGATGAGTCTGAGGGGCTGGGACTGTGGCTCAGATGTAGACATGCGAGGCCCTGGGTTCTATCCTCAGCACCACATAAAAATAAATAAATAAAGATATTGTGTCCAACTACAACTAAAAAAAAAATGTTAAAAAAAATGACAGAGTCTGAGCAGAGCACAGGGTTCTGCTGACTTGAGGACATGAAGATCATTGTGGGGGATAGCTCAAACAGTTGAGATCTATGTAATGCGTGGGACACCAGAAAATCCAGAAATACATATAGGGGTTCCCATAAGGGAATACATATTGGGCTATCCCTGCTCAGATCAAGACCACCTGATGTATAGTTAGAGTGCTTACCTAGCATGTGTGAGGCCTGGGTTCAATCTCAAACACAGAAAGGAAAGAAATGAAGGAAGAACTGCCCTAACAAAGCCTAACATTAAGCCCTGAAAAGACTGATAGAGGAAACAATATGGGAATTGCATTCTGCCAAGTTAAAATTTGAAAAGTTTTTGGGCTTAATATGAGCTAACAAAGTAAAAAATAAGTATATTCAAGTTTAGGTGACTACTCAGTAACTGGAATATCTTCTAAAACAAGAAGCAGCAATTTTCAGCGAAGATAACAGAATCCAGTTGGGCACAGTGGCCCACACCTGTAATCCCAATGACTTAGGAGGCTGAGGCAGGAGAATCACAAGTTTAAGGACAGCCTTGACAATTTAATGAGACCTGTCTCAAAATAAAATGAAAAGAGGGGCTGAGGATGTGGCTCAAGCGGTAGTGCGCTTGTCTGGCATGCACGGGGCACTGGGTTCGATCCTCAGCACCACATTAAAAATAAAATAAAGATGTTGTATCCACCGAAAACCAAGAAATAGATATTAAAAAAAAAAATGAAAAGAGCTGGGGATGTAACTCAGTGGTAGAACACTCCTAGGTTCAGGCCCCAGTACTTAAGGAAAAAAAAAGAAAAACAGAATCCAGAGTTTCTACAAGGTATTACATTTATCCAGTATTCACGAAAAATGACTAGATAACATACAAAAAAACAAAATGCAATTCATGGTTTCAAAAAATTGATGGCCTAGCATGTTGGCACACAACTCTAATCCTCTAGCTACTTGGGAGGATGAGGTAAGGAGAATCATGACCAGTCTGAGCAACAAAGTGAGACCCTATTTCAAAAAAGTAAGATTAAAAATAAAAATCAATTTATGGCCTCTGTTATTTGTTATATTGTTTGTCATCAATGCAGCTATTACTAAATATTTTCAAAGAATTAAATGGGGCTGGTAGTGGGAGTACACAAAGCCCTGGCTTCAATCCCCTTCTCCCCAGGATCACAAACATAAAAGGGTTAACTGAAAACATGTTCTTTTTATTTATTTTTTACACCTTTATTTTATTTATTTTTATATGGTGCTGAGGATCTAACCCAGTGCCTCACACGTGCTAGGCAAGCGCTCTACCACTGAGCCATAACCCCAGTCCTGAAAATGTTCTTAATGAAGGAGTGAATAGAGGGAATCTCTGCACAGACATGGAATTATAGAGATCTAATGGAAACTCTAGAACTGCAAAGTATAATAAATGAAAAACTCATTGTGCTTAATAGGAAATTGTAGATGGCAAAATAATGAACTTGAGGACATACAAATGAAGCTGTATTGTATAAGTATTTGAAAATACAGGGTGGACAATCCCCAGTACTAAAAACAAAGGATAAGAAATAATATAGGATGGAAATGTTGAGAAACAGAAATGTGGATTTGGGATTTTTTTCATCAAAATTAATGGACAGGGGCTGGGGTTGTGGCTCAGTGGTACAGCACTTGCCCAGCATGTGTGAGGCACTGGGTTTGATTCTCAGCACTGCATACAAGTAAATTAATAAGATCCATCTATCTATCTATCTATCTATATAAAATATTGGACATATGCTACAAGAAATTCAGTGTTAGAGATTTAGTCTTCAATACCTCCTATCTAATTAATTATGTATTATGTATTATTTACAGAAAACATTTCAGAGTACTAGAGATACTGCACTGACAAAAATACCTGCTTCATGAAATTTATATGCCAAAGAAAGAGATAAGACATTATTTTCTATATTATTCTACGCCAGATAATGGTAAACGTTGAGAAAAATAGAATAAAATATTGATGCATGGGGTGCTATTTCATTCTTTTTTGTATTTGTTTTTTTCTTTACCAGTACTGGGGATCAGACCCAGAGCCTCACATTCGCTAGGCAAATGTCTCACATTGAACTACAACCGTAATTCTTTTTAAAATTGAGACAGGGTCTTGCTATGTTGCCCAGGTGGGCCTTGAACTTGTGATCCTCCTGCCTCAGTCTCCCAACTTGGTGTGATTATAGGTATGTGCCACTGTGCCAGACCCAAGTATGCTATTTTATTTTTGTTTTTTGCAGTGCTGGACTCACACCCAGGGCCTCACTTCTGCTATGCAAGCAAAACACTGAGCTACATCCTCAGCCCCAGTGTGTTATTTTAGATAGGACGATCAGGGAAGGCTTTTCTGAAGAGGTGGTGTGAACATATGCAATATGACTATCCTGTGCATCACTAGCCAGTAGAAATAGAACCCAACACCTATGTAGTTTTAAACTTTCTAATAATCACATTTTAAAAATAGGTGAAATTTGATATTTAACCAATATATCCAAAATGTTATCATTTTAAGTAGTATATGACTGGGCTGGTGTTGTGGCTCCATGGCAGAGCACTTGCCTAGCATGTGTGAGGCACTGGGTTCGATTCTCAGCACTGCATTTAATAAATAGAAGAAAGGTCCATCAGTAACTAAAGAAAATTTTTGAAAAATAGTATATGACTGAGATACTTTATATTATTTTCTTTTGTACTAAATCTGATATTTAGTATGTATATTTACATTTATAGCACTTTTCAATTTGGTTACTAAGTTGTCACTGGAAATATACACATTTAGAAGTCATAATACTTATAAATGAATAAGTAAATTACATTATTTATATTCCAAGGACACTTAAAAATTTTCCAATAACTGAATCAAGTACTAATTTTTTTACTTTACTTTTTAGGGCAACTTAAGGTTCATGGCAAAATTTAGTCAAAAGTACAGAGTTCCCACATGACCCCCTTTCTAGACATACACATAGAACATCCTCACCATGGATATTTTGCACCAGTGTACAATG